TCCTAGAGAAAATAAGAATTTAAATTATATATATATATATATTTATATGCAACAGTATAACATTTACTTTAATTATAATTTTCATTTATATTTCCTTACATTGCAACATAACCAAAAACTTGATCCTGAAGAAAATAAGAATTTAACTCTTTAATTTATATATATTGAGATATTATGCAATTATATATATCGTTATTAAGTAATATATAACTTTTTGATTAAGACCTAAATATCGAACCCACAAGGGAGTCATGCAATATTCACTATTGAACAACAAACTTTGTATTCTAAAAAGACAATTACTTAAACTATATATATTTTTAGAGTATTAAAATTTAAATCTCTTTCGTTTTAGTATTTTTGATATTTTGACAAAACAATAACAACTAAATAGATAACTTGAGTTTATGTAAAATAAAATCACTTGATCTGAAAATAAATTTCTCCTTATCCCATGATCAGTAATAAGTATAGAATTATATTGTGGAAGTATTCTAATTGTGTTGTGTCAAATATAAAAAATTATATTCTTTTAAACAATTATATTCTTTATCCTTACTAGAGATGTTATAAAGAACATTGGTTAATCTAAAGTTTGAATAGTTTTGAAACCAGTTCTGAAAAACGGCTAGGCAGGGAAGATAACAACTCTCGCTCAAAAGTTCCCTCAATTCCCTCTATCTGGGGGCTAACATCATGTATCAGAACCTAAAATAATAAACCAAGTTGGGGGCTTTAACATATCACTTTAAAGTCCTCTAACTCTACACCCTTCAAAGATTATTTTCCTATTTATTTGCACTTAATCATATGAATTACGTTCTCATTCATACAACCTCATCTGATTCTTTCTAATTGTTGACTGAGACAATACCATCCCAATTATTACATGTTCTCACAACAAATTTTAACATCTAGATAGGCCAGATCAAGAAGTAAATAAAGTACATGGAATTAAATCATCACAACTTCTTCCAACATTAAAGACTATACTCTTCATAACTTCTATCCAAATCATTTTAAGGAGAAAAATAAAGAAAACTACTCAGAATCTATGGAGAAAACAAAACCACACTTTAGTTTAAAAGCAGAAATTAGTTTAAAAGTAGAAATCATTGTCAAATCAATAAGATGTCTCAATTAAAACAAAAGTAGTTTAAAAATAAAGATAAAAACTTATCTCAAAACCTCCACCAAGCTCTTGAAATTCCTTTGAATCTCTTATCTCTTATAACACTCTTAACTCTCACAATAAAATTAAAAACAAAAAAAAAAAAAAAAAAAAAAAATAAACTTGTGGTGCCTGAAAATCTCTCCAAACGTTCCTCCTTGAACTTCTTCAAGAACTTTTCAGAACTCTTTAGAACCCTTCTAAAAGTCTCAAACTCCTTCTTTTAAAATTTTCTACTATAAATTTCCAAGATGTCCCTTGGTAACTCTTTAAAATGTGTCCAAATTTGATGTATTCTCCAAGGGATGCCTCCTTTCACAAGTTTTTTAATCATATTTTTGTTTTAAGTGGTCATAACCACAATCTTTAACCTATAGATCCCTCAAATGTCCCTTTAAAATACAACAAAATAAATTAAACCATCAAATAACTGCCTCTGGCACTTAAGCGCGTGGCCTCTGGCACTTAGGCGCAGCCTTCTCTGTTTCATCGGCGCTTAAGCGCCGGATCTGACACTTAGGAGCCAAAACTCTTTTGCACTATTTTTATATTTTTGCTCCCAATTTGATCTTTTTTTGCTCCTTTTAGAATTTTTCACATTTTACCCTAAATAAAAAACACACAAATACCTTCCATTAAAGTGCAATATCTCAAAAATAGGTATAAAAATGTGTCTAAAAACACTATATATTTTACATGTATCACCTAACCTTGGAATTAGGGAACAAACTCTAAATTAGTCAATGTTTTTTATAGCACTCGGAAGAGGGTAAATAATAGGATTGCTCCTATTTGACACAAAACAGTTTTTATATATATTTTCAAATGATTTTAATTTCTTCTCAATCTGTATGCTCATTGTAAGGGGAAAGATGTTTTCTTAAATTTGAACTTTCTGTCAACAAAAATTTCATTTAGTTTTAGTAGTTTTACTTGAAAGTTTCAGTTTCTAGTTTAGTTAACTTTGTCTTTCAACTGTATTTTAAATAGCATTCACTTTAGTAGTTAATATTCAAACTTCGTACTTTACTTTTTTTTAGTTTAAATTATAATTATAATCTTAAGAACTATTTATCGACATTTCCAACTTCCTTGTGGGATCAATATCTAGGATTCAATTAGAGCTCTTTATTACTTGAGTGATAAGTATACTTTTGTTATTTTAAAGGGGATTTGGTAGTTTAAAAGAGTTTTAAAGATAAAATATTTTTATAAAAGTTATTTTTGTTGGGATTACATTGTATATTTATTATTATATTTACCGTGTGCTTTTTGTAATATTGAGAAATAATTGCAAAATTAACACACTAAATCCACCTGCATCAGTCGCCAATGGGGGTGAGCCACATTAGATGGGTGTAAATTTTATTTGGCCCATGGGGAGAGCTCGTTGTTTTTGGGTTTTCTGGCCACTAGGTTGGCCAAACAGGCTATAATCAATTGAGCTCAAGATTAGGTCATATGGCCAAAAATAGGATGGAATCACCTAAATTATAGGACCCTTGATCCATGACACCTCTAGGGTGGGCTAAGAAGATCTAGGCTGGTTCTTAGGGTCTAAATGGTAGTTTTGGTGGTCCAAGATGCGCTAGACCGGCTTAACCAAGTGGTTCCAAGTGGGTTTAGGGTTTGTGTTCACAATTTTGGATTTGGCTTGGACTTGAGTTTGGGTTGGACTAGAGCTTGGATTTGGCCCAATTGAATGGTCAGTTTGGTTTATAAATATGTCATGGGACATTTGGAAATCAATTGGGTTGAAGATTTAGGGGCTATGAGATTCAATTTGGAGGAATTTGAAGTTTGGGGCAAAATTGGGGGTTTTGATTTGAGTTAAATTTGGGCTAGGCTTGGGCTAGTTCAAGGTCAATTGAAGGTTCAATTTGGTCTAGGGTAATGTTATGAAGAGTTTATGAAGTGGAATTGGGAAAATTGAAGAGGTTAGGGCATTCAATTTGGTGGACTTTTAGTTCATGGTCAAATTGAGGTTTAAATTGGGCTTGGATTTGGTTCAAAATTGGCTTATTCATGTTGAAATGAAGTTTAGATTTGAAATTAAGGAAATTTGAAATCAATTTGGTGGTGATTTAGAGACTTTATGCATTTAAGGGTAAAATTGGAATTTTGGTCAAAATTGGTCAATTTGGTGAAATTGGGTCCAATGGATGGCTAGGATTGGTTTTGGGAACACTTGGAGTGATTTGGGAGGTTTTGGGAATTTTTTGGCCATAAGAGGCATCTTGGTAATTTTGGAAACTTTGGGGTATTTTGGGAATTTTTGAATGTTTTGGGCAATTTTGGTGGTTTGAAATAGTTTGGGATGACTTTTGGATAAAATTTGGTAATTTGGGCAATTTTGAGAATTTTAGGGATTTAACGTTAATTGGTATTTTTTGAAGAGTTATGGGCTCAATTGAAGATGCTAATCACAAAATCACCCTTATGGTGCCATGAAACCAAGGTAATCCCTATTTTGGATTCTCCATGTGTTGGCCTTAGCGCCTAGGGCTAAGGGTTTGGGGGACATCCCTATGAGTTTCCAAAAGAGTAGGAAAGCAGACTAAGCTTGTTTGGTTAAAGTTTAGGGTGTGAGAGAAGGTGAGGGGTATTAATCTTGTGTGTGCAAAACTAACCAAGACCACACCACCCAGGGCTACTCCTAAAACCAAACAGTCCTATGGGGACTTTTCTTGAGCTCCTCCATATTTGCTCCACCTACTAGGCGCTAGAGGTTAGAACCAATATGTGTAACTTTAAGAGAGTCAAGAAGCATTTGGAACTTCTAATGGGGAGGGTTCCCTTAATAGTCCTCTATGAATAGTCAACAGGAAAATCCTATGGATGATCCTAAGCTTCTAAGAAAGAGAGACTAGACGTCAATAAAAACTGAGGTCAAAATGAATATACCAAATTGCAATAAAATCATTGACCACCTTGCTAACCTACCAAAAAACGTCGAACGGGTCATTAAATATTGTAAGCGATTAAACCTTGAAATCAGGTTGACCTTGTGAGAAAGCATATAATTTCTAAGCTTTTGAGCGGGGAAAATCAAAGCTAGAAGATGTTTCTCAGTAGGAGGATACCTTACCTCCACCGGTATTAGACGTCGACTCAAGTAGTAGAGTGTTTTTTTCCTTTTCTTCATCATTGACTTGAGCTAACAAGGATCTGAGAGAGTCATCTAAAGCTACGGTATAAAGTATCAAAGGTCTTCCCGTCTTCCCGGAATAGGGGCTGCCAATACAAGAGGTGTCATTAAGTATTGTTTAATTTCTTCAAAAGCTCGTTGGCATGCATCACCCCAATAGAATTTGGTGTCCCTTCTGAGTAATGCCAAAAAGGGCTGACACCTTCCTAATAGATTTGAGATAAAGCGTCTTAAGTATTCTAATTTTCCTTGAAAAGATTGTAATTATTTCAAAGCCTTGAGAGGTGACATCTCTAAAAATGCTTTACTCTTCTCTAGATCGATTTTAATGCCCTGATGACAGATAGTGAATCTTAAAAATTTCCCAAAAGTAACGCCAAATGTGCAATTTAAAGGGTTCATCATATAACACACACACAGACAAATATATATATATATATATATATATATATATATAGGTGTAAACGAGCTGAACAAGTTCTTATGTATTTACATATCTAACGCCTGAACTTTCATACATAACGCTAATCTTTAATATCACGTGAAGAATATGATTACTAACGTTTTAAAAGTGAAGTACACTTTTTCATGCATAGGTTCGTGACACCAAGCCTTATAAATGTAAATATCAAAATTTAGGTGTTTGATATGTAAATATAAAGGAATTGTGTGGTATGCATGTAAAATTTTACTTTTTAAAATATATTTTCTAATTTCAAGCGACCAAACACTGAGAAGATCTTATTATTGTTTGGTCTGTAAAATTTTCGGAACATTTACATGTTACGTCATCTGAGTATTGTCTATGTTAGCTGTTAAAGTATTTGCAGAAATATCCTTTCGTTTTGTTTGATGCGTGATTGCAACTGCATATTTCCTCATCTGCAACTATTTCCCTGTTTTCAGCATCCATGCTGTGGTTGATTTGGGCTTCTATTAAGCTTTTTCAGCAAATACTACAAATCAGCTCACCATGCAGTATCTTTGAAGGACGATTGGTGATGAATATGGTTAGTGTTACTGGGGAAGAGAGACACAGAATGAGTTATTATTATATTAGTGGAAGATTTACATACATACCACTCAAATCCTCTGCATTTACATATCTAACAACTAAACTTCAATTTTTACATGCATGCCACCTTTCCTATGTATGAAAAAAGTGCTTTTTTTTTTAGTAGTTAAAGTGATTCTATTTTTTTATGTGATATGAAAGATCGGAGTGATGAATGTAAAAACTAAGGTTTAGGTTTTGCAGGAGAGTGAGTTGCATGTTATACGTGTATAATTTTTAATCAGGAATATAGCGTGGGCCCGGTGAACTGAGGAGCATTGAATGCAGGAATGTGTTGTCTGGATGGAATGAGGTTTGGATTCTGGAACAAGAGGAGCTGCAGAAGTTGGAGGATATTCTTACAATGATTGTTGATGATGGTGCAATCACATGATAGAATGGATGGCGACAGCTTGTATATTTCATGGTAATGTGTAAATTAAATAAATGATTTTTGTTGAGATTGTGTGCAAAATGTCAACCTTAATATAAATATAACGTTATATTGTTTCACCCTAAACTCTAAAACCAAAAAACTATCCGCATTGATCTTAGTGTTATCAAGTCTTAAGCCAATATGATTGACTCTCTCCTCTTTTGTTTTTTTTTTCATTGATTTTTGTAATTGGGCATGTTTTGCACAGGATGTTTAAAGTTAATAATAGCATTTAATTTTTGCATGATATTGTCTACATTGTTTCCCATTTTAAAGCGATCATTTTTACAAGTATTTTATTTCTTTTTGAAGATGCATTGTGCTTTAGACAATTTCTTAAAATCTCTGGTCTGCTTGGAAGGATAAAGGATTATAGAGTATGTTTAATATTGTAGGTTATGATAATGAATTTTTTCTCTGATCCGAGTTGACAGAATTATATCATCTCATTGCACCATCTCCTCTATAAATTATATCATCTCTCATAGGAAATTATTTTATGAATAAAACAGAATTGTTTACTATTCATTTCTTTTTGTCTCTCTATCTGATCTTATTTACACTATTTTTTGGGTGTGTTTCATTGACAAATCTAGATTATATATATATATAGACACACATTGATATATAAGCTTAACCATGGATTCTCAAACATATCTAATAAACATATCCGCACACATATATGTACACCTGTATACATAAATATAAATATATTGTCTCTGTGTGCATTATTGTCTGTGTGTGTGTGTGTGTGTGTGTGTGTGTGTATTGTCTCTGTGTGTGTGTGTGTGTGTGTATAAAATCTTATTCAAGGTTTTACATGTCCACACACATATATGTACTCATGTATACATACATATTGATATTCATATGTGTGTGTGCGTGTGTGTACATATTTATGTTGTAGCTTTCCTTAGAATTGAGTTAAATTATATGTTTAGGTGAGTTTATAAAATGAGTTCATTACTCAATTTATTTAAAATTGTTTTATTTTAGTTTTATTCAAATTGTGCTATGCCAAAATTAGATTGGTTTAAGTTTAATTTTAAATATTTTCAATTTTTAAATTATTTTAAATGGTTTTTAAATTATTCATATTATATAAGTTTTAATTTAATCTAGATAAATTAATGATCAAATTTAGTTCATTTTAAGCTCAATCTTAGCCAAGCTTCTCCAAGCCATGCATGAGTTAAACAAAAGCGCATCGAGGCCAAAACTCAAAGATAACCTCAACCAGGCTTTGGCCCACCAGTCTATGTTGGGTACTAAAAAATCCTAGAGTTTTCAAGGATTAACTTGGGCTAGAGCAGAGAAATGTGACAAACAAAGAGGTTAACTATTAGGAAGAGTTATCTTTTGAAAAGGAAGTGCTGGTGAGATAGTGATGAAGCTTCCATAGCAATTGGTTATATCAAAACTTAAACAAGCCTATATGTTGTCCTAGACGGAGCTCTAAACTCATTTTATTTTCACAATTTGTGAAGGAAACTAAAACTCTAGACAAATCACAGGATATGATAGAAAAATAAAGTTTTTCTGATCCTTTTAGATGATAAAGACTTTTAAAATATCCTTTGACTCACTTGGATTAGATGCTAGATTGCAAATAAAGCTCTCATTCTATATTGGAGGTAGAAAATCATAGCAATATGTTCCTTCTATTTAGAGTGACAACATTACTTAATCAAGATGTATAAAATACTTTAAACCCTTGATCTAAAGTTATGGAATGAATCTCTATGGTTTTATTCTTGGTCAATGGTTAAGTTCTATCTCAACTAACACTAAAACCACCCTAGTTATTCCAATGATAAATCAAACCATGCCAAGAATAAATCATAGCATAATCAACACATAATTATGTAGATAAGGGGTTAAAATTAGAGACAATATAAGACATTACACAAGCACTAACAAATCTAATGAAATCAAGTTAATTGTTTAAAAAAATAGAAAAATTAAGTAAAAGGAGAGGCATTTAAGAAAATTAGAAGTCCTTTTTATATTTTATAAT